TGTGCTGTAGGGGTTCAATCCTCGGCCCGATCCGGTCTTCTCTGCTACTGATCTAAGACAGCTTTTACTTACATTTGTCTCCATCTCAAAGCTACAGATGCTGAAAATGCACATCAATCAATTTCCACGATCATTCTAAAATGTTCATCATTCACAGTATACATTGGTATCGTTCTACACTGTCTGTCTCTCACTAGAGGGTAAAAGGATTGAGCCAACAAGTCACTCCACGAGATGCTAACAGCCACTGAGGATGGTTCACGGATTTTAAAATATTGAATGTTCATGGTCAACTCCCAGGGTCAAGCACCCGAAGGTCAAGCCTCGGTTTCACTAAAATCTACCTTCCTTTGCCACCTGTCTAGAAGAAAAGACAAGCCAACTAATGGTAAACTGTCAGGACAAGTCTGCTCCGGCTGTTTGCAATTGTCTTCGAAGATATAAATCTATGGGTGGATCTAAAATTAGAAATCATCAAGATGAGTTTCGGTAACTGCCTAGAGTCCAAGTCTCTGACATAACTCCTAGTCCTCCGCACGTAGTCTACAAAAGTCAAGCATGCTTTATCCAGCATGTTAGAATTCTACAGCTTTTTGCTTCTAACCGCAACCGCTGGCTTTTGCTGACGTATACTGAGACAGTACTATACGTATACTCCGTGTACGTCAGAAGTAGCTTCCAGGACAAGAATTTATGAATACTGATCGCGACCGCCGTTTCATCAGGTGTGCTTCACGAAGTCATCAGTGAATTTGCTTCTGTGAATTTTCCACTATGAGAAAAGCAAATCCTTGACCCCAACCCTTTCCCCGTTACATTACGGGAGGATAAATTTAGGCGACCATTAACAACGCGGTGAGTTGTTTCTCCTCCTAGTCAATCTGAGATCCACCAGTTTATTCTCATTATCCAGTTACATGGAAGTTGTTCCTTAACAACTTTTTCGAACGATTGAAAATCTGTTGCTAAGGTTTCAGATGCAGCTGACTGTATATTGGAAGAAAATGCGTATCACACGTATACATCTTGAATTCTAATGGCTAGAGAAACCGAGACTCTACAAGAACTTTAAGAACACACAATCCACTCTGCACATGGACGTGAAAGCTGGACATTAAGAATGAATCGCTCGTGACGATCTCCTGGAGAAAGACAACACTGCCGCTAACCTGTAGAGCCGAGGTCCTCTACAAGATCTTGTGTACACACACCTTTTGGAAACACAGGGTATCGAACCCCGTGCCTCCTGCATGCTAAGCGAGCGTGCTACCATCTGAGCTACATCCCCTTTGCATCTCAAGGTTCTTTCTAACAGATCGGAGCCGTCACCTGGGAGTTCTTGTAACTGCTTTGCTCGCGAGTACAGTATCCATGTTTTTCAAGTAGACTCCCGCACTCAACGATCGATTATGATACGATGGGTCGGGAAAAGTGCAATCGACTGCAACCGCTTGTGTTGGAACAACGAGACAACTCAAGATGCCAGAAATGATATTTGCAAATTTCATGCAACATTGCCAGAGGGTACTAGGGAGCTACTACTACTGTAAACTAGAATTATCAACTCGCCACATACCAATTCCCCGAAAGCTCCTACACATAAAGTCATTTTGCTAACCAACTAAAACTATCACTCTGTTTACACTATGAAAGGCACTTTTCAAATCACAAACATACGTTACAGAAAACCTCGTATGTGAACATGGGTGAAGGTGGGCCGAAGGGCAGTCAAAAGGATCCCATTGAGTAAAGTGAATCTTCTGGGTCTCCACAAATGTTAACTTTCCGGATGGGTTCTATCACGTAATTTCCTCCACGAATTTTGGATATACATATGTATATATATATACCCTACGATAAGTACCCGACTCATGACTTAAAAAATCATAGTGGAAGAAAACCTCCTAAAATTTCTTGAAGGTTACGGGAGACGTTTCTGATATGATGGACAATAAAGTTCTGACATTGATACTGACACATTTTCAGAGTGTATTGATTGTCATAACATGATGAAGAGACAAATTTTACTAGGAGATTGCGATTTGGTAGCGTACAGCACGCTTCTATCTAGGACAGAAGGAAGACAGTATACTTCCATATGAACAAGTTTTTGGACTGATCGGTGGACTTTATGAGTTGAACATGTATCATTAACCGTGACATCATTTGAACTAACTGAAGCGGTTATCGAGTAGCAAAGGCTAAAGTAAGACAATTTCCGTTAAATTCCAAATGATTGGAGCAACAAGCTCGCACACCCAACAAATCAAGCTCAGAATACGACATTAAGGGAGTAAAGTTTGGGTTCTACTGATATAATACTACGAACTTTGGTTGTAAGTTGGAACTAGCTTTTGCAGGGTATTTGGAGGAGATTTAAATATATCTGTCTCCTATGACCCCAAGATTAGCTACACTGAGACTGAGGCACATGTTACAACTAGAAGTGTATTCATACGCAAAGAGAGTATAGCTGTCGTTTATTCAAATTAAGGCGAGTCGATTTTATTGAAGATGAGGTTGCATAAACATGATACTTTCGACCCAGAAATTCTAGAAACGGTTGATTCTCCAAGGTCATACAACACATTACATATCATGCCCAGTAAGCTTATCTCATGAAAAAGTCTTTGAGTCAAAAGTCTTGATATTTATCTCTTTTCTTTTGATCGCTGACTCAAAACTTTTGAGTCACCGATAATCGGCGGTTTGCTTTCAGTTTGCTGTTTTCATGACTTTAGTCACTCATAAAGAGATGCATCATGTATGGCTTGTGGTAATGTATATTCTATGTGAGGAGGAAAGGTTGTGCCATGTCCGAGGAGGGCCACTTTCCAACGCGATGTTGTATCCATCTGGCTAACAACGTGCTCTTGTGACCTTTTCAACATAATTCTCATCAAAGGACATCTATCCGCGTAAACTATCTGGTCTTAACTTGTGCTTTGCGCAGCGCTACATCACGGATATTAGAACATTTGGCCCCTTCACTCCACTGAAACACTACACCCTGAATGAAGATAAGATTACAAAGGATAGTTCAAGATACTGCTTTGACTTTTTGCCGGAAATGAGCACTTTAGCTCCGGTTGAGGTCCGAGTCAGTCAACCAGCCGTTGTGGATCACTCTACGACGATAAAAGTGGACCACAAGCAGGAAGTGTATGGTTTGACAAACTTTGCGGTTCTTACAAGTCCTTTTACTAATAGGACCCATCCGGTCCTTCTTTCCTTCAACATTTTTTGAGTTGGAGTTTGTGTGATATACGCATACCGAGATCCATCCATCCATACAGCCAAACTGAAGAAACTGAATCTAGTTTGAGTAATTCCAGTAAATCCAGATAAATGAGTTGACTAAGAAGGAAAGCTGTACGGCAAATCTAGCAGCTCATGAAGGTTGAATAATTTTGGCAAGTTGAAACAAGCTTTATCATAATTATGTTCACAGACAGGAAGTTCAAAGGTACATGAAGAAGTACTGAAAACAAACCACAGGGGCAGAAGCTTTCACCAGATTTAAAGGTGTGTCGACAGAAGTCGACTGACAAAATGTGGACTTGTGTTCATTAAATTTTGCGTAGATAACTGAGATAGGTTATTAAGTACACTGGTACAAGCGCATTCTATTCCGGTTTGTGTGGTGTCTGCAGGATTTCTGCAGGCCGAGATTTGTGACTCGGCATATGAGCTTCGAAGAAATGAGTGGACCATTTGTCCAGCAACATTGATGCTTTTTAACCTTACCGAGGGGACTGAAGATGTAATTGAGAAGCGAAGCTGACATTTGGAGCAATGAGGGGTTCGCTGTAAGAATAGACCAGACAAATGATCACACGCTGTAGGTGTATTTCGCTCGAAATTTCAGTTGACAAGTTGAGGCTGATTCCGTAGACTCCCGATGCCGAAATTTCCAATAATAATGTTCTTGGAGAAGCGGTCTTCTTGTCAACTTTTTTCGAATTGCAACTGCCACCCTCTCCACACACTTCATCTATCTCTCGGCTGATAGATTGTGCTTGTCTCACGCTAGTATTGGTCAAATCTTCAATACTTTCCAAACGCTGTTTAGTTCTTTATGACTTCAAGCGATCGTAACAAGATATTTATTATTCACTATCCTCACACGAACTCCAATCTACGTCCATGGATTCATTATCAGAAGAAGGGATTCAACTGCGCACTGAATGGGAAACAAAAATAAATATTACAAATAGTCGATCTCATCAGTTTCAGTTTTCACTTACTCAGGATAAAGTTAATGAAGAGTACACTAGAAGTTCTGAGAGTCGAGTGTTGAAAGTGCGAAGGGCTTAAACCCCATCCGAAACATCCTCACTGTAGATATCTCAGTATGGCCAGATATCCTCACTGTAGACATCTGATAACAGGCAATTTGGATATACTCATGTTCCATGAACGTGTGTTTTGATACAGGATGCACAACCATTGACGATGGCTCACGTAAGCGATCTTTAACATTTTACAACTGCCTCGGATTGTGTCGTTGGGATTGATGAACTATGAACAGAATACAATGTCTTTCCCACTCCCCAGCACAGTAACCTCTGGTGGCAATCAGCATAAACTAGACTTTCAGTCGTCATGAGTAAGGTCCACATACATCAGAATATATTTTCTGTCTTCTTCAAAGGGACTGCAGACATAGCTGGTGTAAGTTCATTAGTTATCTCCTTCTAGAGTCAAGCATGAAGTTCGTGCCTTTTTGAAGACCAATGCCACTAAAAAGCGAATATGCCTTACAAATTTTAATACTAAAGCTTCTCACTTTTTCATTCAGGTCTTCCATTGCAGATATATCCACATAAGGTGGGATTGTCATTGAAAAGAGGATACGTTCGCTCTACACTAAATGCAGACACGAATACACCGGATCCTCCAAGGTATTACTGTGACCTTTTCATTGATGATGACTTTTCCTCCTTCGGAAGCCCGAGGAAGTCAACCGGTCTCCTGCTCATCTCCCTATAAATACATCAGAAGAGCTTTGCTGGAAGTAGAAATCGCATCACACTATCAATACGTCACGAGAGCTTTGCTGGAAGTAAGCAGTCAAAATTTTCATCTCGCGGAGGTCTCTCCTGGTACTCAGAGCTTTTGGATGCAGGTAATCGACGTTGGTCTCGATGGTTTTGCATTATAATCTTGAATATGTCTGTAAACAGAGTGATGTTTCCCTTGGATGGAAGAGACATGTACTTCGAAGCCAAACGAAAATCTCCGAATGTGCAGATACGTGTTTAATTCTTACATATTATTCCCGTCTCTGCAGGGATCAAAGATGTATACGAAGGTAATAAGAGTGGCAACAATCCTACTACTGCTTTTCCACCTGAGCTCAGCGGAACAATGTGGACGACAAGCAGGAAATGCCGTGTGTCCTAACAACCTGTGCTGCAGTCAGTATGGCTGGTGTGGATCCACATCAGACTACTGTGGAACCGGCTGCCAAAGCGGACCATGCTCTGGTAGCGGCACTCCCAGCACTCCCAGTGGGTCGAAGACCGGGGAAGTTTCATATTACACAGCTCCGTTTGTTCGTAAGTACCTTCCGCTTCCCGTTCCTGGGCCCTCTGACTGTGTGCATTAGTCCGATGAAATTCTATGAATAGGGAACTCCATATCGTGGTCAGGATCGAAGTTCATGAAACCGATGACCTTCATATATACGATGATTTGGGTAAACCCTGTAAACTGGTTGTTAGCTGACGGAGTTTGTCTTCAGTTGTTATCACAATATTCATCTACTAACCATATTCGGGATGGAGTTTGTCTTCAGTTGTTATCACAATTCCACACAACCTCCATCCTTGGAGTTTTCCTCCAAGCTTACCTGCGAAGGAAACTAATTGACATTGAGAAATTTTCTACTTAATCACATACCACGCATGGATTGCAGTCCTGGCAAAGCAATGAATTTCGTCCGCTTTTTCACAATGCTCATGTCCTCGGCAGAACATGTCATTTTTGATTATCTTGATTTATCCTTGCAATCTCAGATCCACTTGAATCAAGTCTGAATGAATATGCTTGCACCAATCTCAGCCTACGAGCCTGAACATGTTTGATCGTTGCTTGCAGCTTCCGCTTGTTTTGGATTCGATGCAAGTCAGTTTCCCTCCAACAATTTCTTTGCTGCGGGAGGTGACGGAGCACCCAATATCTGGAACAATGGTGCAAACTGTGGCAAATGGTTCAGGATCCAATGCACAGGCAATGGCTGCACTAGCTCAGCGACCATCTCTGTCAGAATAGTGGATCGTTGCCCTAATGGATGCGTAGGTGGGCGAGCATTTGATTTGTCCAACACAGCGTTTAGTGCCATAGCAAACACAGCCGTTGGACATGTCAGTGTCAACTATTCCGGTCCATATGATAATGCCTAGTAACAGATCGCCCATAAAGTGATCGGCTGGACATCTTCTTGATAAGTGGAAGCTGAAATGGAGATTTTCAATGGATCTTCCTCATTTTCCTCTTTGTCTAGCTCGTTGAAATAAAAAGTTGGTTCGAGTTCAGTTGTCTCTCATGCAACTGAAATTCTTCCATGTACGGATATATTTGATTACTTCAATCGTCCTTCTTCAAATTCATGTTCTACTGGCCATGAAATTTGATGAAACTCTCTTTCATCATATTCGTTTCAACACTGTCAAGTTTATTGATAAAAAAATACCTTGTGGGAAAAAATGTACTGACTGTGATGACAATAACGAATGCAATCAAGATTACTCACGTCAGGAAAATCACACCTTTGGGCTGATTTGAGAAAGCCAAAAATGAGAAAAAAAAAGCCCGAAGTTTCATCAATCTTCGGTTTTGAGTCTAAAATTTGACAAACGATGGTCAAGCTCTTCTGAATTGTCTTCCAACACCAACTGCCAGCCTCTCAAAACATTTCTAATTTTCTTTATATACAAATATCAAGTTGAAGTCTGAAGAGTTGATGCTCAGATTATCTACTCCGGGAGCCAACGTCTAATATACACAAATAGCAACTTTCTCGACTCGGAATGTATTCGTCTTAGCTCTTCGGATTGTAACTGGTAGCCTGTGAAAATGCTTCTAATGGTCGCTGCTTATAAATTCATCTAGCTTGCTGCTGAAAGCTCTTGGAAGCTACTGCAAGTGTAGTCAATTTTTCAATGTTATCAAACTTCAACTCAGCTATGAAAACTGTATATCTACACGATTGTAATAGAAACTCGACATATTTATGTCTGAGATTCAATGACTTGCGTTGTTTTGCATCGGTAGAGAGTAAATTTACAAGTGGAGTTGAATGTGTATCTATAACACATAACATGTCCCTGCATGAAACATTTAGTTGTGAAACGCAATTGAGAAATGAACATTTCCTCCCATTGCTGATGGATTGATCTACTCCCAATAACATGACCTGTATATACATCCCTCTTGGAAAGTCCTCCTTGTTCAAGTGAATTTTATAATGTATCCATGCACGAACAGATAAGCCGCAAACACACAGTTTCGTAATGTACGTGCCAGCCTCTCATAAAGCCTTTAATGCCCGTCGGCGGGAATTTTCAGCTAGCCTGATGTTATAAGCTTTTGGAGCCTACGGCAGGTGTAATAATAGTTTCAATCTTATGAAATCTCAGCTCCGATCTGGAAACTCCATTGCTCTAGGACTTCATCTGGGTGTGAACTCTATGTGAACGAAACAACAGGATGGTCTGATGACGGTAGAATGGCGAGCCTGAAAGCCATCCATGTCTACAGGGTGGCTTACGAGGAGGAGGAAGAAGCTTCAATGAATCTCCCCCTGAACTCGATGAAGAAACAGTTGATAGACAAACCAGTCAAACTCATACTCTCAAGATAATCGAAGCGTATTCCACTTTTCATTAGGCTGCTGTGAAACAGTTAAGCGTCGCCATGGAATGCTTATGTACGAACTGGAATTTCATAGCCGCATAAAAATAACTGCGAAGAAACTGAGCATCTGAGAAACATGTACTTTGAATGTATTCAGATGACAACTACCAATATAGCCATGATCGGTCTATCGTAGTCGGATGATGATGATGATCATTGCTGACCCTGAAATTCCTTATCTTTTGCCTTAATTTCGCTGAAATTGCTGAAGCATTGGTATTCGACAGTGCACCCATTACTCTATCTTGGTGATAATTATACAATTTTATCAAGAATTCAGTGTAGTAGGTTATTCTCACAGTTATGTCCCCATATTATTATGTCACCCATTTGTGTCCGTCACTAGTATTCGTAGACAACACCACAATCTCAGCTCCTGGCACTGGTTCAACAGTCAAACTGGTAGATGGAAGAAAATCAGTTACAGGAGACACTGACCTCGAGCCAACCCTCAATACTGAAAAAAGTAGATAAATATTTACTGTCGATCCATGAAGCTGCACGGGTCGAAACAGTATAATTCCTCTTATCCAAGGAGGGAGTTGAGGGAGATATTGCTAATCTCCATGACAAATTCCTCTTCAGAAGAAGATGTCCAGACCTTCACATACACGACGGACGGTCCACTTTAAGGGCGTTCAGTTACTACGGGCTGTAATAAGGAAGACATTGACATGTCCAGCATCTATATTGGCTATGGCACTAAACGCTGCCTGGGACAAGTCAAATGCTCGCCCACCTACACATCCATTAGGGCACCGATCCACTATCAAGACAGAAATGGTAGCTGAACTGGTGCATCCACTGCCTGTGCATTGGATCTTGTACCATTGACCACAGTTTGCACCATTGTTCCAGAGATTGGGTGCTCCGTCACCTCCCGCAGCAATGTAATTGTTGGCGGGAAAGTGACTTGTATCGTATCCATAACAAGCGGAAGCTGCGTGCAACGATCAAACATGTTCAGGCTCGTAGGCTGAGATTGGTGCAAGCATGTTCATAATGACTAGATTCAAATGGAACTCGTGCAAGGAATAATCAAGAAATTCCAAGATGACATGTTCTGCCGACGACAACAACACGCATATACTAGCAGGCATTGTGAAAAAGCGGACGAAATTGTTTGCTTTGCCAGGATTGCAGCACGTTTATGATTATGCGTGGTATGTGATTAAATAGAAACATTCTGAATATAAATAAGTTTCCTTCACTGGTAAGCTTGAAGGAAACCTCCGTCCTGAACAGAAGATGTAAACTCCGTCAGTGAACATCCAGTTTACAGGGTTTATCCAAATCATTGTATATTTTAAGGTCATCCGTTTCATGGACTTCGATCCTGACCACAATCTGGAGTTCCATATTCATAGAATTTCATCGGACTAATGCACCCAGGTAGACGGCCCAGGAACGGAGAGCGGAGAGTACTTACGAACATAAGGAGGTATATAATATGAAACTTCCCCGGTCTTCGAGCCACTTGGAGTGCTGGGAGTGCTGGGAGAGCCGCCACCAGAGCATGGTCCGCTTTGGCAGCTGGTTCCACAGTAGTCTGATGTGGATCCACACCAGCCATACAGACTGCAGTACAGGTTGCTAGGACACACTGCATTTCCTGCTTGTCGTCCACATTGTTCCGCTGAGCTCAGGTGGAAAAGCAGTAGTAGGATTGTTGCCACTCGTATTACCTAGGTATACATCTTTGATCCCTGCAGACACAGGAATAACTATGTAAGAACTAGACACGTACGTACACATATGAAGATTTTCGTCCTGCTTGTTTGTATATGCTTTCTTCCACTGAGGGGAATGGTCACTCTTATTACGAACATATCCGTGATGAGCATGCAAAAGCATTGAGAGCAATGCCGATTACCTGCATTCTAAAGCTTTATGAGCACCAGAAGGGACCTCTGCGAGACTAAGAATGAGATGGTTTACTTCCAGCATAGCTCGCTGGATGAATTTATAGTGAGAGGACCAGGTGACCGTCTGACTGACTCGGACTTCAGAAGTAGCAAAAGTCATCCTCAATGACAAAGTTCATAGCAAAACCTTGGAGGATCCGGTTTTTTTGTGTTAAAAAATTTAGTGTAGATCGAGCTCGTGCTCTATTTAAATCACAACGCCACTTTACTTGACGATCTCTGACATGGACAACTCAAATGAAAAAATCAGAAGCTTCGGTATTTAAGATAGTAGAGCATATTCGCCTTCGGAAAATGGAATAGGACGTCACATACGGCACGAACTTCACCCTTGACTCCAGAAGCATGCAATCACACTAGCTATGCTTGCACTACTTTTGACGAAAGCAGACAATGGTTACTGATGTATGCATTTATGGTCGTGACGACTCAATGTCTACTTTATAGTTTTTGGCATTAGTGTAGGTAACTGTGCTCAGAAGTGGGAATGACAATTGTGTGCTGATCCTATATTACCAATCCCAAAGATACAATACTAGGCCCAGGTTCAGATACTAATGCTGCAGATCGCATACGGAAGCCATCGTAAAAGGTTGTGGATTTTTTACAAAAAGGAACGTGCATGGGTCATGACTCATGAACGTGCCTTCTTGAGTATACTCATAACTCATGAGTATATCCAATTCGTTGTTTATTAGATCTCAACAGTATGGATTTCTCGGCAATGGCCCGGCTGGATGTTTCGGATCGGGTTGAAGCTCATCGCATTTTGAGGACTCGGTCTTCCATATCTTACAGTATATTCCGCAATAATAATTTTATCTAGAGACGTTGAAAACTGAACCTATCATTTCATATTTTATTGGGGAGCTTCTTTCTCTGAGATTTTTTTTCGTTGTTCTTCTCCTCCAGGGCACATTGGAATCCCTTTTTCTCATAACCAGCATACGGAAGTAGATTGGTGTCAAGCTAAAACTTAACGTTGAAGTTACAGAGAAATAAAGAGTTCCATCTTAAGCTTCTAAAGATCTGAACACCACTTGCTTCCAAGAACTGAAGCTGGATACAAACACAATTAAATTGTGTTTTTATCAAGCTTCAGTTCTGCCGAGGGAGAAAAGAAGTATTTTGAGAGGCTAGCAGTCGGATTTCGACAACAGTTGAGACGAATACCTTTTTATTTGGACCAACTGTATATTATGCATTGCGACTTTGGCTACAGGAGTCTACGGGGCATCAACTACTAAATTGAAACTTGGAGCGAAGGTATACCTTCAACATTTACCTTAAAGTCAAATTTTTCCTGGTCAATTCGAAGAGTCAAGCCCTGAATCCTTCAAGATTCCGGTTTTAAGTAGAAGGATTGAAGCTCTTCGAATTTTCAAGACTCGAGCTTCGAGATCTTCGTCAATAATTGCTTTATACTCCGCTATTGTAATTAATCTTGAGAAACTGAGTACTGAAACTATCGTTCATAGTGAGGAGCTTCACTCATTGAACCTTCATTTGTTTTTTTCTCATCCAATGTACATTGTAGTCCCTCGTTCTCCATTTTTCTAGTAATCATCCCATGGACATAGATCGGTTTTCAGTTCGCGTGATGATAGTGAGGAAAACTTGTTTTTACGGTCGTATATAACCCAACCATGAATGCACATAAACGGAATAAGTATTTTGGAAGGTTGGAAGCTAGGATACAAAAACCAGTGGAGACGAACACCTTTTCTTCAAGATATTGTAAATTATGTACTGGAACTTTTTGGCTTCACGAGTCGACGGGGTCTTGGGCTGTTCAGATTGAAAAGAAATTTTATCACATGTTGATACATGCTGTAACTGTACCTTTGCTGTACGCTTCAGTATAGCAGTTGATGTTGACCCCGATGACTTCTGAAGCCAAAAAAGTCTCCACAAATAACTAACAATATTTTGGAAGAAAAGGTCTTCGTCTCATCTGTTTTTTTATTCTAACTTAAAGCCTTTCAAAACACTTCTTCCGTTCAAGTGACTTCATGGTTGGGTTGAAACAAGTTTTACTCACTATCCTCACGCGAACTTAAAACCGACCTATGTCCATGGGTTGATTACGTGAACAATGGAGAAGGAAGAACTCCAATGTACATTAGATAACAAAATCCAAATGAAAGTTCTACGAGTGAAGCTCCTCACTAGTGACGATATGAAACGATAGTCTCAGTTTCATTTTCTCAAAATATATTACCAAAGCAGAGTATACTGTAAGTTTTGACGTTGAGTTTGGGAGCTCGATTCTTGAAAATTCGAAGAGCTTCAAACCCTCTTAAAACTGGACTCTTGAAGGAGTCAGGGTTTAACTCTTCGAATTGACCAGGCAAAATCTGACTTGATGGTATTTGCTGAAGGTGTACCTTCGCTCGAAGTTAATTTTTAGTAGTTGATGCCCCGTGAACTCCTCAAGCCAAAAGTCTCAATCCATGATATTGTAAATATATTATATTAATTATATTATATTATTTAAGAAAAGGTCTTCGTCGCAAGTGTTGTCAAATTCCAACTGCCAGCCTCTCAGAATACTTCTTTTCTCGCTCGGCAGATAAAATTTGCTTGTCTCACGCTACAGTTCTCGGAAGCAAGCGGTGGTCAGTTCTTCCATTTTTATTCTCAAGACACTTACGAACTCTTAATTTCTCTATGACTTCATGGTTGAAAATTAGCCAAACATATCAACACGTTTTCTTCACTGTTATCACGCGAATTTAACACCAATCTAAGTCCATGGGCTGGTAGTGAGTAGAAGGGATCCCAATGTGCACCGGATGCGAAAAACAACGGAAGCAATATTCAAAGAATGAAGCTCCCCACTAAAATATGATAGTTTCAGTTTTCAGTATCTCTAGATAAATTATTATTGCGGAATATATTCCAAGATATGGAAGATCGAGTCTTGAAAGTCCGAAGAGCTTCAACACGATCCTAAACATCCATCCGGGTCATTCATTGCTCACGAATTCTTGCTCTTGGCATCTCATAACTACCGAATTGGATATTCTCATGATCCATGAACGTGCTTTTCTAAAAAATCCACACGCTATGACGATGGCTTACGTGGGCGATGAGTAACATTTGTATTTGAGAATGGGCCTAGTACAGTATCCTTGGGATTGGTGATTTAGGAACAGAAAATCATTGTCGTTCCCACTTCTGATCATAGTTACCTACTCTAATGCCAAAAACTATTAATTAGACTTTGAGTCGCCTGACCACGTATGCATACATCAGTAATCATTGTCCACCTTTCTCAATACTAGTGCAAGTATAGCTGCCTCTAGAGTCAAGGGTGAAGTTCGTGCCGTATATGACGGCCTATATCATTTTCCTAAGGCGAATATCTTCTACTGTTTTAAATGTTGAGGCTTCTTAATATTTTCATTGATTTGTCCATTTCAGAGATCGTCACGTAACTGGCGTAGGCTCGATCTAAACTAAACCTTTATACGAATACACCTGATCCTCCAAGGTTTTACTATGAACTTTGTCATCGGTGATGACTTTTGTTACTTCTGTAGTCCGAATCAGTCAAACGGTCACCTGATCCTCTCCCTATAAATTCAACACGCGAGCTTCGCTGCAAGTAAGCAATCTCATTCTTCATCTGGCATAAGTCCCTCCGGTGCTCAGAAGGCTTTAGAATGCAGGTAATCGACATTGCTCTCAATGCTTTTGCATGCTCATCACGAATATGTTTGTAATAAGAGTGACAATTGCCTTGAATGGAAGAAAGCATATACAGAGAAACAGGCCGAAAATCTTCATCAATGCACGTACGTGAATATGTCTAACATAGTTATTTCTGTCTGTGCAGGGATCAAAGATGTGTACCAAGCTGGCAGTGGCAGCAATGTTACTCCTCTTTTCCCACCTTAGTGCAGCGGAACAATGTGGACAACAAGCAGGAAATGCATTGTGTCCTAACAACCTTTGCTGCAGTCAGTGGGGCTGGTGTGGATCTACATCAGACTACTGTGGAGCCAACTGCCAAAGTGGACCATGCTATGGTGGCGGCTCTCCAAACACTCCCAGCACTCCCAGCCCTCCCACTGGCACGCTGACCGGGGAAGTTTCATACTATACAGCTCCTTTTGTTCGTAAGTACCTTCCGCTTCCCACTCCTGGGCCTTCTGAGTAAGTGCGTTAGTCTGATCGCATTGTGTGAATACGGAACTCCAGATTGGGGTCAGGATCGAACTTTACGAAATCGACCAACCTTAATTCTACAATAATTTGGGTAAAATCTGTATACTCAGTGTTTTGTACATTTTCAAATAATATCTAGTCATTCACAGACCACACTTAGTCTCCAACTTGCTGCTATAATGGGATAGAAAGCAATTTCGTCCGTCTACTCACAATGCCTGCTAACACATGCGTGGTAATGTCCTCCTTTCTTCAACTTTCAAATTTCATGAAATAAGTTTGTCTTATTAATTAATCCTTGCAAAAATCCACTTGAATAATACTTGCACTAATATCAGCATGCGAGCTTGAATCTGTTTGGTCGTTGCACGCAGCTTCCGCTTGTTTTGGAAGCGATCCAGGTCAATTTCCTTCCAATAATTTCTTCGCTGCGGGAGGCGACGGAGCACCCAATATCTGGAAGAATGGTGAAAATTGTGGTAAATGGTTCAAGATCCAATGTACAGGCAGTGGCTGCACCAGCTCAGCTACCATCTCTGTCAAGATAGTGGATCGGTGCCCTAATGGATGTGTAGGTGGGCGCGCATTTGATTTGTCCAACACAGCGTTTAGTGCCATAGCGAATACAGACGCTGGACATGTCAATGTCCTCTATTCCGGTCCCTATGACAGCCCGTAGTAACAGAACGCCGTCAAAGTGGAACTTCCCTCGTGTATCTGAACGTTTGAACATCTTCTTCTTGAGTGGAATCTGTAACGGAGATTAGCAATATCTCCCTCAACTTCCTCCTTGGATAATAGGAATTGTACTGTTTCGGTCCGTGCAGCTTCTTGGATCGACAGTAAATAAATTATCTTCGTTTTCCTATTTTCGTTTTCCTAAATCGAGGGTTGGATCGAGATCAGTCTCTCCTGCAACTGATTTTATTCCATCTACCAGTTTGACTGTTGAACCTGTGCCAGGAGCTGAGATTGTGATGTTGTCTACGAATACAAGTGACAGACACATAAAATGTTTGACATAGTAATATGGGGACATAACTGTGAGAGTAACTTACTACGCTATATTCTTAATAACACTGTATATATATCACGAAGATAGAATTATAGGTGCACTGTGGAATACCTATGCTTCAGCATTTTTAGAAAAACTATGGCAAAATATAATGAATGTCACGGTCACCCATCTTCATCATCATCATCCGACCACGACAGGCCAAGTATGGTTATATAGCTAGTTTTCAGATGACTACAGTCACAATACGTGTTTTTGAGATGCTCAGGTTCTTCGCAGTTATTTTGAAGTTTATAGCGATGGAAGTCCAATTCATACATAAGCATTCGATGGCGACGCTTAACTGTTTCACAGCGGCGTAATGAAAAGTGGAATACGCTTCGTTTACCTTCAGAGAATGAATTTGACTTGTTTGTCCATCAACTGTTTCTTTATCGAGTTCAGGAGGACATTCATTGAAGCTTCTTCCTCCTCCTCCGAAGCCACTCTGTGGACACAGATGGCTTTCAGGCTCGCCATTCTGCCATCATCAGACCATCCTGTTGTTTCGTTCGCATGTGGTGAACACCCAGATTAACTCCAGATTAAGTTTCCAGATCGGAGCTGAGGTTTCATAAGATTGAGACAATGACTACCGCTTCCGTAGGCTCCAAGAGCTTATAACGTCATGCTAGCTGAAATTTGAAGCCGACAGGCATTAAAAGCTTTTTGAGAGGCTGGCACGTACAGTCCGAAGAGTTCAGACGAAGATCTTCCGAACGGAGAATTATATTATTTGCTTATGTGGTCTTTGGCTTCGGGAGTGGATAAAGTGAGCATCAAGCCTTCAACATGAAACTAGTTAGTTTTGTTTCATGGAAATTAAATGTCTGCTGAGAGGCTGGCAGTTAGTGCTGGAAGATAGTTCAGAAGACCTTCCTATCGAAGAGAGGTATCTGTAGTGGAAAAAAAATGTATGCCAATTTGGCCTAGAGGATCTCGACAACGTCAGCGTCAGGAGCCAAAAATCTAAAGACAGTGAGCCTGCGGATAGTTTCATGTGACCATCGTTTGTTATTTGGAAGATTCGCACCCGAGGATTGATGAAACTTTGCGGTCTGTTTGATCTGAATTTTTGGCTTTCTCACAACAAACCAAACGAGCTATAATCTAAACCTCATATATCCTGCTTGCCTTGATTCATGTTTTAAAAAACCTTAAACCATTTCAGCCATTTCAAGAAATGATCATGTATAGATAAAACTTGGTAGTGTTAAATTACATATGGAGAGAGACATGTTTTTCAAAAAACACAAAAACAAATCCAAATGTCCTTGTGCTCATTATCTTCTACTCGGAATAGCTTATGAGTTGTTTGGGCTTGCCGTTGCGGCAAAATATGGTTGTGATGAAGACTTCAACCTTCTTAGTACAATATCCATCAACCACCATTATCTGTAAATCTTGATTCTTGTACAGCTTGTCTTGCATCACCTTTTGATTGTCACCGTTTCACCTTGCTCTATACATTTCTCCCAAAAAAGAATTCCAAATATCCTTGTACTCACCCTGGAATAGCTATAATTGTAATTCTTCTATTGCTTGTCCTGCAATATCTTCTTAATTGCTACCGTTCAACTCGCTCTATACAAGATATATATCTTTTCACTAGAAGATAAATCCAGATATACTAGTGTCCACTATCTGCTCAGGGGAATAGCTTATGTTGTACTTGGGCATGACGTTGTGACGAGACGCATGAGAAAGTTGCCGCTGAGGATTCAGAGATGCAACCTTCTCATGTTCATCTGTTCGGTGTGCGCGAGAGCGATCATGGCATGCGTGGTGCGTTTCACAGGGTTGTTACGTTAAGACTCTTTTCGTGTCCTTCACTATGATGCAATCCATCAGGATGTCACTCTCTCTCCTAAATGTGCCCATCTGCGATGACTCACTCCAAAACTCCAGACTCTTGTCTTGCTCGCCGAAGTAACCCCGTCTATAATGACTGTCGGGAGCATTATACATTCGCCTCTTCGTCAGTTTAATTCGCTCGCTTTCTTCGCTAACAGCCCAGTCCTATTTCTCCAAGAGGGTAGGCGTTTATACTTATGTTTTCTGCTGGCTTAATTGAGATCAGCTGAGACGATCGGCAGGGAAGATCTGGAGTTTGGAGACGTACAGGCAAACGAAATTGCAAGTTTCGATGCTATGAGATCAGCTGAGACGATGGACCAGGAAGATCTGGAGTTTGGAGACTTTCAAGAGATCAAAATTGCAAGTTTAGACATTAGGAGAGTTATCACTGAAGACAAAATTCATAGTTTTTGCGAGGCCATGAGAGCTGAAATGGCAAGTGACGACAAGATGAGAGATGACAACAAAATTAATAGTTTCGTTAGCGACGCGACGAGAGGTGAGAAAAAATTTTCAAGTTTCAATTGGGACACGATAAGACACGAGGAGTGCAGTTTTGACCTTGAATAACTGCAACCTGAAATACTCAAACCCTATCAATTTGCCCGCTCTTTCTCCTGAGAGTTCTGGAAGTTCATTGGATGGTAAAGACAAGTTAGAAGGGAAAAACATTCACTGTTATGGTTGGAGTTATGAAGGTTATTTTGAAGCTGCTTTGCAACGTGCTTATGATAGTGGCGAGTTCGAGTTGGTAATGGCGTGAAAGGGACACCCGTCGCGGGATGCGCAGATCCACAGACACGTTCTAGCCTTCATGGTGTTTGTCTGAATGACCTGAATGTCACAGGTGAATTTTGAATAGTTCATGTTCGAAAATTTTACAGTTGCAAATGCTCTTGATGTTCATCTCTTAGAATAGAATTGCGTAAATTTATCAGTATCGTAAATTTATCAGTATTGTGTATTTTGTCTTGGAAAATTTTACAGTTGCAAATGCTTTGAATGTTCGTATTGTAGAATAGTGTACATTTTTCACGATAGTGTAGTTTATGTTGGAGAATAATTCACTTGCAAATTCGTATTGTAGAATAGTGTACATTTTTCACGATAGTGTAGTTTATGTTGGAGAATAATTCACTTGCAAATTCTTCGGATGTTCATCTCCTATAATAGTGTAATATTATCTAGATAGTGTAGATGAATCAAGATAAAGCAAGCTGCTAGTAGAACATTTTTTGTGTGCTCTTTCCATTAACAAAAGCAAGTCTGTAAATATATCTTTATTGACTCATTTAGTTCTCAAAATTGAACTGATTGTGAGAAAGTAAACAGCTAACATATTTCGTACAGCCTAGGGCAAAGATGTCAAATACCATGGAGTCATGTATAAAAAAACTCGGACGAGAAATAACAAAAGCACCACACACATAAAATGTTGTACTAGCAGCTTGCTTTCTCCTAATTGATCTACATAACTCTATTTTACACTATTCTACACTTTGCCGATAAATCTACACTATTCTACAAGACAATACGAAAATCCAGACCATTTTCAAGTTTATTATTCTCCAACATGAACTACACTAACCCAAAAAATGTAAACTATTCTACAAGAAAAATATCCAAAGCATTTGCAACTGTAATATTTTACAAGAAAAAACACACTATACCGATAAACTTACACAATTTATTCTACAAGATTAACATGAAGAGCATTTGCAACTGTAAAATTTTCCAATATGAACTACTGAAAATTTACCTGGGACCTTCAGGTAATCCAAGCAAACACCATGGATGCTGGAACGTATCGGTGTATCTGCGAATCCGGGTGTAGCTTTAACGCCACTAGCAACTCGAACTCACCACTATCATAACCACGTTGCAAAGCAGCTTGAAAAAAACTTCATAAATCCAACCATAGCAGTGAACGTCTTCCCCTTTGAACTCGTATTCACCATCCAATGAACCTCCAGAACTCCCACAGGAAAAGAACAGCAAATTGCTAGGGTGAAGGATTTCAAGTTGCAGGGATTCGAGGTCAAAACTGCACTCCTCGTATCTTATCGTGTCCCAATTAGAACTTGAAAATTTGTTTATATATATGAAAAATTTGAACTAGGAACAAGACACACTCGTGTTTCTTAACAAGAGTAGAAGCCTCATACAGAATGTGCAGAACTTCCATGTGAACTTCGTTATCTATTCAATAATTTCTGTGAAAGGAGTTTGTCTCTTTGAGTGCTTTGGTTTTCATCGGCAGGAGTTTAGGTTGCGGCATTCACCGATTCAGTTTGGGTTCTTGTTGTACATTTTTTCACCATAGTCTATGAGATGTTTGGCACGAGATTCTGGTTCCAGTTGTGTTTAGCTTGTCCGTACAACATGATTTTCTTTCTGCAGTTCTGGATTGAAGTTCATGGAAGAAGATGTGATGGAAGTGGTGCAGCCTCTGAAACCGTTTGCTGAAATTTAATATTACACAGAAAAAACTCTGGGCTAAATTCTTAGTACCGATACTACGTATGCAAGTGTGGATATGATCGACCGAGGGTCTGCAACACATGCGGAGTCTAGCTCTAGATCTGATGAATCCTGCTATCGATCAGCTCAGAAACATACGGTGCAAAATAAAATCTGAGAGAGGAGTCGCTTCTTCCAATACGCACCTTGTTTTATACACTACCTTTTTTAAAGATGGACTGCCAACAGGTTTGAAGGCAATCGTAAAGCTGTTATGGCATGCATGTAGAAGCATGCCGAATAGCGAAGTGATCATGTGTTTGTTTAATCACAAACAGATGATCACAATCAAAGTGATCAGAGGCATGAATACGATCAGAAGTGATATGAAGAGCAGTACTGGAGAGCCTGTGCTGTAGGGCGGCCCGATCCGGTCTTCTCTGCTACGGATG